CAAACATGGAAAGGAGAAAACTGGATGGTTTATTGGGTGGATGTGTGGACAGTAGACAGACAATGTAGAGAATCACAGACATAAATGTGTGCATGTACATACACATAAACATACGTCTATTCTCCAGCTTAGTCCACGAGGAGGGACCTGGAAACAGTGACACCCAAAGACCAGTAAGCATACCTTAGAAATCAAATCTTGGTTTCTAAATATCATTCTCCATTAAAAAGAAGCTGAGTTTCTTGTAAAAAATAACTGATTATAGGGCTGGGCAGACAAAGTACAGACAAAATTAGAGTATCTTCTTGTAACAAAGAGTAAGGAAGTGCTCAGAGAATGAAAGGGATGTACCACAAAGACACAGAAGCCAGTTTGAAGGGACTCCTACTAGCCAAATCTGGGATAATTTGAACAGCAAAATGACTTTAATAATACATCATAGCATGACATTTAGATGTGAAAGTCTGGGTTCATTCTGACATAAACAGATAAGTAAGTACTTGATAAAGAATGAGATATTTATACAGTCTCAATGTAACTTTTCACAAAATTAAAATGATTTCAAAGGGAAAAAGAATAACTTTAAAAAACAGAAAGCTGATATACAGTATCTTAGTTTAGTTAACCAGTAACTGGACAAACTAAAATTGTGTACCACTCTATAAGATACAATGAGAACACAGTACTACATCTGTGATATTTTTGGCCAATATATATAACCTGAATCTAACCATGAGGAAACACCAAAAACCTGATGAACAATCCACAAAAGAACTGGCCTGTAATTTTCAAAAGAATCAAGGTCAATAAAATCAAGAAAGATTAAATAATTATTCCAAGGAGGTTGAAGAGACGTAACAACTAAATGCAACAAATAATTTTTTAAATGACAGTTTTATTGAGATAAAATTCACATCTCATAAAATTCACCCTTTCAAAGTAAATGACTCAACAATTTTAAATATATTCACAGATGTGCTAAGACAGCATCAGCATCTAATTTTAGAACATTTCTATCACTCCCCAAAAGTAACCCCATACTCAACAGCAGTCACTTCCTATTCCTTCTCCCAATACCCCCAACTCCTACATAATACTAATCTACTATATGAATGGATTTGCCTGTTCTAGGTCTTTCATATAAATGAAATAATGCAACATCTGGTCTTTCATGTCTGCCTTCTTTTCTTGGCATATTGTTTTCAAGGACCATCCATGCTTTGCCACGTAGCAATACTTCATTCCTACATCGCAACAGCCCTCGTGAGTCTTTAGAAGCCTCTGACAGAGGACTTCTGTGGTGCCTTCACTCCTCCTCCTTTGTGGAGTGAGTTTAATCATCGAAACAGTATTTCTTATCCTTAGAAACTCTCAAAAATTTCTGTGCATCAGTCCTTGTTCTCCATGTCACTTGACAATGCTGAGAAATGTATCACTGGGTGATTTCATCATGAGAACATCACAGAGTATACCTAGACAAACCTAAATAATTCAGCCTGCCTACCTCATTCCTAGGCTAGTGGTGTGTGTGTGTGTGTGTGTGTGTGTGTGTGTATCTCCTGGAGCCACAATGAACAAGACGAGTTAAATCAAACAAAAGAAAATGATGCAATCCAGAGACCTGGTAAACACCAGATTTATGAGGCTGCTGCCAGAGTTACACAGCATATCATATTTATAGTAAACTTATTTTTATAAGTAGGCGTATGCTCTAAAGCAATGATAGAATGTGTAATATAGAAAATACATAAACTATTAACAAAGTCATTTACTATCCAGTAATACTACTATACATAACCACATGTGCTGTGTCTTATACAACTGGCAGCATAATAGATTTTACATTGCCAGAAACACATAGGCAATACACTGCATGATGATGGTGTTACAATGCCTATGTACTCAGCAGGTGATAGGAACTCCTAGGCTCCGTTATAATCTCTTAATTAATTAATTAATTAATTAATTAATTTGAGACAGTGTCTCAGTATGTTGCACAGGTTGGACTTGAACTCATGATTTTCCCAACTTAGCAACCCGAATAGCTGAGATTACAGGGATGCACAATCACCCCCAGCACGAATTCATTTTTTGACATATAAAAATTGCCCACACTTATAGAGTGCCATGTTTGGCTTCAGTACATGTATACATTGTGTAATGCTCAAATCAATGATCTCCTTAAATACCATTCTTTGTGGTAAATACATTCAAAACCCTTTCAAGTTTTTAGAAAATATACAGTACAATGTCATTGTCTATCATTACCAACTATAGAATAAAACACCAGAATTTATTTTTCCTAACTATGACTTAGTACCCTTTGACCAACTTTACCCCATCTCTCTCTTTCAGGTACTCCTTCATGGTAATTACCATTCTACCCTCAACTTCTGTGAGATCATTTTTTTTTTAATTCCATGTATGAATAAGATCGTGTGGTATCTGTTTTTCTATTCCTATCTTATTTCACTTGACGTAACAACCTCCACTTCCACTTTATGCTGTTGCAAATAAAAAAATTAAATTCCTTTTTTTAGCTAAATAGTTTTCCATTGTGTATACCTACCACCTACCACACTTCCTTTATCCATTCATCAGTTAATGGACACTAACTAAGGTTGTTTTCATTTCTTGACTACTGTGAATAGTGCTACAACAAACTCAGGAATAAATGTATCTCTTCAACATACTGATTTCAACAAATTCTAAAAACCTAAGTCATATTAAATATCTTTTCTTGACCACAATGCAATAAAATAAGAAATCAATAACAAGAAAGATTTTGGAAATTATACAAATACATAGAAAATAAACAACATACTCCTGAGCACCCAATGAATCAATGAAGAAATTGAGGAGAATTTAAAAACTTCTTGAAAGAAATGAAAACAGAATCATGACATTCCAAAACTTTGAGATAAAGCAAAAGCAGTTCTGAGAGGGAAGTTTATAGCAAAAATCCACCTCCACTGAAAAAAGCAGAAAGATCTCAAACAACCTATCACTGCACTTCAAAGAAGGAGAAAATCAAGAACAAACCAAACACAAAATTAGTGGAAGAAAAGAAATAAGAAAAATCAGCATAGAAGTAAATGAAATAGGCTAAAAATAACACAAAACATCAATAAAATTGAGTTTTTTTAACAAACAAAAAATTGATAAACTGTTAGACTAACTAAACAAAAAGAGAGAGAGAAAAAAATCTCAAATACAATCAGAGACAAAAAAAGGAGACACAACAGAAACACAGAGGATCACTAGAGCCAATATGAACAGCTACATGCCAACAAATTTGATAACTTAGAAAAGAAAAAAATGTACAAATTTCAGAACATATACATACCTTACTAAAATTGAATCATGAAGAAACAGAAAATCCAAAAACACCAATAATGAGAAACAAGACTGAATCAATAACAAATACAATTCCAACCAGATGGTTTGACTGTTGAATTTTACCAAAAATTTAAATTTAAAGAACTAAAATCAATCCTTTTAAAAATTATTCTAAAACATTGAGGAGAGGGAAATTATTCCAAATCTATTTCATAAGACTAGCATTACCCTGACACTAAAATCAGACAAGGACACAATAAAAAATAACCCTATAGGCCAATATCACTGATGAAAATAGTTGCAAAAATTTTTCAACAAAATACTAGCACACTGAGTCCAATAGCACATTTAAAAAAAAAGTTACAGGCTGGGACAGGAAGATTGTGAGTTCAAGGCCAGCTTCAGCAAAAGCGAGGCACTAAGCAACTCAGTAAGACCCTGTCTCTAAATAAAATACAAAATGGGCCTGGGATGGGGGTCAGTGGTAAAGTGCCCCTGAATTCAATCCCTGGTAGCTCCCCCCGCCCCTCCCCCCCAAAAAAGTTATTCACTATGATCAAATGTGATTTCTCCCAAGGATGCAAAGATGACTCAACTTATACAAATCCATGTGGTACACCATATCAATATTAAGAAAGACAAAACCATATGATCATCTCATTAGACCAGAAAAACATGAGAAAATTCAATATCCTGTTATGATAAAAACTCTGAATGAATTAAAGGAACATACCTCAACATTAAAATGAATATCATATATAAAAATCCCACAGCTAACATCATTACGGAATGGGGAAAAGCTGAAAGCTTTCTCTCTAAAATTCAGATTAAGACAAGGATTCCACTTTCAGCACTTTCATTCAATATAGTATGGAATGTCCTAGCCAGAGCAACCAGCCAAGAAAAAGAAAGGAAGTAATTCAAGTGGAAGATGAGGAATGGTTTTCAGATGACATGATCATACAGAAAGAAAACCCCAAAACTTCTTCAATCAATTAGAACTAATACACAAATTCAGTAAAGTTACAGGCCACAAAATCAGCATACAGAAATCAGTTTGAATAGGCCAATAGCCAATTATCTAAAAAAGAAATCAAGAAAGCAATCTCATTTACAATAGTCACAAAAATAAAATAAAATACAGGGAATAAATTGATCCAAAGAGGTGAAAGATCTCTACAATGAAAACTGTAAAACACTGATAAAAGAAATTGAACAAGACACAAAAATATGGTCAGCTCTATTATAATCTTATGAAACCACTACCAAATATGGGTCTGACATTATTGACCAAAATGTCCTTAGATTGTTAGGTGGTACATGACTGCAATTAATTTATGGGTTTGCCTTCCCTGCTAGAAGATAAACTGCTCAATGGCAAGGTCAGTGTTGTATTTGTGGTATTTCCAGTGTCTCCTCTGTGCCTGGCATATACTGAGTGATCACTAACTGCTTATTGAGTTGAGTTGACTTGAAGATATTTGGAGAGAAAGCAGAATTTTAGCAGCTGCTCAAATGAAGAGCGGCTTATGCATACTTAGAATAACTATGATGACAGAAATAACAACTAATATTTTTGTCTTGAACAAGTTCTATGCTCTTTAAATATACTATGTCATTTAGCTCTCAGAACAATTCTAAGTACTATATGCTATTAATACCTTGAAGAAACTTTTCCCAAATCATACAGTTCTATTAAGTGGATGAGCCAAAACTTACTGAAAAAGAGAAAAAAAATAACATTATTTATACATATACATGACAATAAACAAAATTTGAAAATGACCTACCTTCACAGAGAAAACCCCCTTCCAAGACATAATAAGCCTTCTCCTGAATGTCATTTACCTACCCCTGCAGCATTTTTTTTTCCAGAACTTTGTGATCAGCTGAGTCTTCCCTGGTACAGGTGCACCTCTTTACAAATTTTGAATCCACCACTCCTGGCTTGATATTTCATTGTCTCTCTTACTTGCCTGCATGCCATTTGCATTCTGCCTGACTTATCAAAATGGCAGAGCTTTTCACGAACAGCTCCAGAAAGTCACCTTTCACGAACAGCCTAAGAGATAGAGAGGTGCATACACTGCCTGTGTCCCCCCAGCCCCCAGAGAACCACATCACATGACCTGTGGGGGAGGTAATGACTGTTGATATGTGTATGCTCTTGTTTGCGGCAACTGGGCTGAACTGTGCCTAATAAAAATAACACGGATTTGGTTTATTTATTTTGGTGTATAAAAACTCCACATTATCTTGAAACCATGAGAACCAGAAGCATATCTGGCAAAGAAAATAAAGCTGGAGGTGTAAGGAAAGAACAGATTAGGAGAAGCCCTGAAATCAAGCCTCTCAGTTTAGATTTGATGTGGAGGGAAATGAAGATCCCTTGAGGGTTTCTGAGCAGGGGAGTGGTGTGATGAAAACAGTGATCAAGAAGATGAAATACAAGCAGGACAAATTGAAGGGAAGAACCAGAATCTGGGAGGAGGCTGAAATCCAGGCCCAAGGGAGGTGGAGAAGGCAGGGTAATAGGAGAGCGGGCTATGATTTTATATAAATTAATTAACACATGCCCACCCCTAATTCACTTTACTATCAAGTTACTACCCAGGTTTTTTTTTCCTTCTTGTTTTTATGTTCCTGCTATATATGGGAAAGCAAAAATAAACCCAGGAGGAGCTGAATATTTTCATTAAACCGATAATAAAATTTCATCTCTGTGAATATAATGGTTTAACTGTCTGAGCACCCTGCTGAGAAAATGAGCTTCATCATGAGCATGTGGAACAGTTTGTTGGGCAGAAATGGATTTTAGGAAAATTTATTTAAAGTCCTTATTCACAGAATTAGCAGCACAATGAAAACAAAATACTTTTTTAAGGCAACGTCATGAAGATAAATCCCACATGACGGGACAGAAATGGCTGTTCTCAAAGTTTGGGCCCTGGCCAAAGAGTGCTCCCAATTTGTCCTGTGGGACTCTAAAAAATGTCCTATCCAAGTCAGCTCCTGCAATGGCAGGAAGAATAGGTTCACTCTCAGGCATATTGGCCAATATTGTTTGCCCAACTCCAACTCAGGAAACCCTACTCCCTCAGCTCTAGGCTCTTAACTTTGGATACAATTTTAAATGATCCAGAGACTCAAAGGTTATTTTTAGTCAAGTTTAGATCTGGAAAGAGCTCAAAGAACCTCTACACCCATAGTTTAAGAATATTTTCAAGATGTACAACCCTTGTTGCCAATTAAATCTAATGGAAATATATAATAGGCCAATAATATTAAAATTGGGATCCTTGAGTAGGGGTGGGAGTGTAAGGCCCAGAACTCCATCTACTCACTCCAGTTCCTTCCCTCTTTTCTACCACACACACACACTGTGACAGACCCTGAGGTTCTCCTTATGACCTTGGGGCTGCAGAAAAACTAGATTTCAAAATTCTTTTATTATTATTATTATTTATTCTAATTAGTTATGCATGACAGCAGAATGCATTTTGACTCATTGTACACAAACGGAACACAACTTTTTATTTCTCTGGCTATACACACTGAAAATCTAGATTGCGAAATTCTTAAGAGGCTGGTGTGTGTGCTTGTGTGTGTGTGTGTGTGTGTGTGTGTGTGTGTTGTATGACTTCTTGTGACAGATGAAAAACTGAAGCCCAGAAACCTTAAAATAGGACTTCCATTTCCAGTTGTATGGCACACTAAATAGCTTGAAAAGACATCTTCTAGAAATACATAGAACACTAGCTAAATACAAATATCCATTTAGATATTCTAATAAGATAAACCCACAAAGACAAACTTACCAGTTTGACAATAATGGGCACAATCTATGACCCAGTAAGTCCCTATTTACGCATGTATCCCAGATCAATGTTTTTTCAGATTGTCAGTGGAGAAGCTTCATTGGATTATACAATCACTTTGGTAAATTCCAACTGGCATTTCCTGGGTGCACAAAATAGACTAGCTTAAACTGGATTAAAACTAAATAGAAGATAATGGTATTATTATGAGAAACTTATGTTCCATATACTTTTGCACACATACAAACACACATAAGTATAGCATATACATAGGCTGGGTTTCCATGTAAAGTATACCTTTTAATTTGGGTATAGACAAAACATTTTGAAAAAAATAATTTTAAAAACCCCACTGTCTTAGAGAAGAGGACAAGAAAATGCACAAGAATACTCATTGAAGCATTGTTTATGATAGCATAAAATTAGAAGCGATTCAAGTGTTCATCAATGGAGAATAGATAAACATATAGTAGTCTGATTATGAAGCATTATGCTACAAAGCAGTTCAAATGAATGAACCAAAAGCTAAATTGCTGGAATACAATATGAAATTCAAAAGTAGCCAGTTGTAAAATAATATGTATAGTGTACTCTTATTGATCTAAAGTTTTAAAATATGCAAAACGATAGTACATATTATGGACAGATGCATGTGTTTACAGAAAGTATGAAAGCATGAAAATTCAAAATAGTGTTTATCTTTGGGGTGGGAGAAAGGGAAATGGTATTTAGGAGAAATCTACAAAGAACTTCAACTATGTCAGATATGAATCCATCAAAATGTTAGGATTGTTAAAACTGCATGATGCATATTCAGTTTTATCATTTTATTCTTTTGTTGTTGATTAAAAATATATATTTTAAGTCATACAGACTAACCTGAAGCCAAATGGCTCATTGCTGGAGTCTTCTAGACTAAGCCCACCAGGTAGGATCCTGATGGATTGCAAGTTCAGACCTCCTTCTACATGACTCCCAGTTCTATTATAAGTGTACAGGCTGAAGGAGTTGTATAATTTTGGTTTTAATATTTTTAATTTATTTTTACCTGAGAGAGGCTGTTCCCACTGTCCATCAAGGCCACATCTGCTCTGGCCAGAAATAGCACAGAGCACATCCACTCTATGAAGGCTGAGCTGTTACTTCACAGTTTGTCACTTGGCTCGGTTTTCCAGCTTCACTTGTACATTGCAACAAAATGTTAAGCCACTGAAAGGTCACTAGAGAGATGACCTGAATATGAAAAAAAACAAAAACAAAAACAGAGAGAAAGAGAGAGAGAGATGGCAATAGAAAGCCAAGGGGGAGGGAGGGAGGACCAGCTCTGAATGAGGAAATAGGCAAACTCTAGGAAGTGATCAATATAAATCAGAATATTGCTGAGAAACCACAAAACAAACATGGCTTTTATTTTAGATGACTAGAGTGATTTGGAATTGTCGTGTTTTTATAGCCTTTAACGGCAAATATACAATCTAACAAGAGGTGGGTTCATCAACTTTTTTCTAGTCTGTCTTCAGACAAAAACAAGAGGACAAACAATACCTTGGCAACGACTGGAAAAATCTTAACATGGAGAGATTTATGGTGCTTTGGAAAAGTTCAGGGCAGCGGTTTTATCATTGCTCCTTTACACACTTCAAGTTACATAAGAGGCTCTGACTTCTCCACTAAATACTTAATCATAACCTCCAGGTGAGCTTGGGCTTTTCAGGCGGGTGAACTAAAGTTCTTTTTACTGTTGAGGGAGCGATGTTGGCAGAAAAAGAAGGTAATCCTCGGAACACAGGAGCCAGAATATATCAGTGCCTGGAATTAGGAGGAAAATTGTGTCTTCTGGATACATCTTACCCTAGAAAGCCCACTGTTAGGGATTAGGAACTCATTCTGTTTGTGCTGTTGGGGAGAATTCAGATCTGCGACAGAACTCCTGGAGCTGGATCAAGAGCAAATGTAGCAATGACTAGCACTGACGGTTCACTGTTCTGAGCACTCACTGTGATGGTCATTCAGAAGTCCTCATTTAATCTTCATCACCACAGGAAGGTTCTATACTAGCTCCATTTTACAGATGAAAAACCTGAAACAGGGAGGTGAGGTGATAGATCTCAGGTTCCCCAGAAGAAGTTGTGGATCCAAGATTTATACCTAGTCAGTTGATTGGAACATCCTGGCCTTTTAAGTGCCACAGTAAGTCTGAGAGGTGATATTTAATATAAGGGGACGCTGCAACTGAGATGGGTCAGTTCCAAGTTATGGTAGTAGCCATCAGGCCCCTGTTTCTGTTACAGGCACTGCTAGAAGGAGGCATGGATTGGCAGGACACAGGAGTGAAGAAGATGTGTCACTAAAAATCAGAATTCTTTGTTTAGAGCTCTTAGCAACCCAGAATATCTGCTTCAGGAATGGACAGTGACTCTTCAGGGCTTCTGCGTATCCTGTCCTGCCTAAATCATGGTTAATCTCTGCTATGCCATCAACACCCAGAGGATGAAAATGGAGATTGACTTAGAAATGCTATTGGTTAAAAGTCAAAAGATCTAAGTGTGGGTCCAGTATTGCCATTTACTAGCTAAATGGATTTACCCTTCCCAGTATCCTTTTCCTTGTCTATGAAAAGAGGGAAAAAAAATGCCTACTACATATGATAGCAAGAATAATCCAGACAGAGGAATAGACAACTCTTATGGGCACAATAGGAACTTTTTGTTGTTGTCCCTAAGTCAAGGAGCACATTACAACACAAAGCTCAAACGTCCATGAAAGACCCAGGTGTGTCCCAAAGATTCTTTACTATATATAGTGCCATCATTAACGTTGGTTCTGGTCATTTTTCCTTTTTTTAAGAAATTTTCCATAGATAAGAAGAGAACTGTTAATCACCAAGGTCCCTGCCAATTTCAATATTTTGTGTTTTTTTTTTTTTTTTTGGGGGGGGGGTCCTAGAGGACCGAACCCAGAGCTTCTAAGTGATGAGTTGAGCTCTTTTAGGCAACTTTACCCTGCTAAGGCCAACAGTCAGATTCCTAAGGTCCAATCACACAGGAAATCTAATTGCCCAGAGATAGACCGTGTTTACAACTGCTGCTAAGGTCAAGTGTAAGAGAAATGAGAATTCTGTTTTCTACTGTAGCTGAGTGGACATCTGGTTTAGTAGGCACCCTGCTAGGAGAGGGGATCCTGGTGTTCCAACACTTTTGTTCTGGGCAACACCAGACACAGGAGGAATGCAAGACAGGATCAACTCTGAGGGCGATTCTGGCCTTGTGGTGACATGTGACTGCTTCACTGATAAGTACCACTTGAAGACGATTTGGGGTATGACCAGCTGCAGCAGGCTGTGAGCCACAGCCAGAGGCCCCACAGGCACCCCGCCTCTGCCTTGTTCTCTCCATGGGTGGTTCTCAGCATGAGGCACGTCCAACGTGGCAGCTGTGACTTGAGTAGGTGACTGTTGTGTGGTCTGAAAGCAGCTATGTGCCAGCTGAACGCTCTGCCAGTCCCTTCTAGAACAGGGCTGATCCTAATCGGAAGGAAGCCAGCCCTGACAGGACCAGAGAAAGCCAGTCCCCTGGGGAGCATTGGCTGGGAACGATGGAGCCATTCCCAAAGGGAGAGGAGAGAAGGGATCAGTCACTCTGGACTGAGAATTCACTGCCCAAAGTGAACCCCAGAAATCCCGTCCTCTGACAGCCTACAGCAGATGGCAGGAAAGCCTGCCCTGTGGAACACATAGCTCAGCCAGCAGCCTGGAGATGTGTCAAGAGGTCAGTGAGCTGAGTCGCTGGCACAGTGTCAGCGAGATAAGCATGGGTAGCCTTCCAAGTCACCATGCAGGACACACTACCACACACCACTCTGTCTCCAGCGGGCCAGTGTCTCCCACTCCAACCCTGGGGCCCCTGGACTGGCCGTTCCCTCCTGAGGGGCTGGCCCTCAGGTCTTGCTCAGTTGGTTTCCTTTTGCAACTCAAGTCTCATCTCAAACATCCCTTTCTTAGGCCTCCTATGATAACAGCCTCCCTTAATTCTCTAGCACAACATCCTTTTTGGTATTTTTAATAGTTTTTCACTATATAAACAAATACTGTTCATTTCGTTTGTATGTTTATTGCTTACTTTCCTTTCTAGAATGTTCACTTAAGGAGAGCCAGCGTCTTCGGAGGGATGGGCGCTGTGCAGGAGCACCCACACTAACTCATGGAGCACAACACTTGCCAAGGGTCACATCGCAAATCTATGATAAAGGGCAAAGTCACACCAGGCCTTCCAAAGTCATGCCAGTCTATGCTCAGCACCTAGAAAATTATCTAGCATAAAATGAAGGATCCATAAAAATCAGTAGAATTAATAAATAGAATTAATTAACAGGCATGTACTGGCACAAAGTTTCTCTGTGATCTGCAGCAGTGAGAATTCAAGGCTCCTGGGTGGCTTTAGCACACACTTTTGAATATCTCACTATTTCATGCGTCATTCCCTCTTCCTCTCTCCCATTAAAGATCTGAAAATCTCTTTGATTCCATTGGTTCCTGGCACCCATGAACTTACTGCATATTTTTTTTTTCATTTATAAATGCTTTTGATTATAAGTAAAACCAGTAACAACGACTTATTAAAATATACTGTGATTTCAACAAATAGGTTTTCATTTTTCTCAAATACAATTTTTTTTTAAAAAAACAGAAATCTTGGTGGAGGAATGAAAAGTGTTTTAAAACTGATTTATTGTGATTGTTGCACCACTCAATGAAATTACAAAAAATCATTGAATTCTAAACTTGAAATGAGTGACTTTTATGAAATGTGAAATATACAAACAAACAAAAGAAAAAGAAGAAGCAGGAGCCAGAGCTGGGTGTGGTGGCACACACCTGTAATCCCAGTGGCTTGGGAGGCCGAGGTAGGAGGATTACAAGTTCAAGGTCACCCCAGCAACTAAGTAAGGTCCTAAGAAACTTAGTGAGACCCTGATTCAAAATAAAAGGGGCTAGGGATTTGAGTCAGTGGTAAGTGCCTCTGGCTTACATCCATAGTACCAAAAAAAAAAAAAAAAAAAAAAGAACAAACCAGAAGGTACACAGTCCAGTGTTAGTATAGCAGCCCGACCATACTTGGGCAGGACCTTGGGTTTTTTTCATTCGTGGCCTCCTTTCCTGACATACAGCTTTCATCTCATGTTTGTCACATCATGGTCACAAGATGGCTCCTGTACCACCACACATCATATCTGCATTCCAAAGAAAAAAAAGAAAAGCAACGAGAGAGTCTCACCAGGTGAATTTGTTCCTTTTTATAAGAAATTAAAAACTTTCCTAGAATTAAAGTCAGCCAACTTCTACATTAAACTGGGTCACATGGTTAGTTACTGAAAAGAGAAATGGGGTTACTACGACTGGTGCTGACTATCAGAGTTGGCCCCTGAAACAGGAGAAGGGATCTGTTTTCCCTGAGGTCAAGCTGTTGCCTTGAACAAATCAGGATTTTAACAGAGAGATGAGAGAGATAGCTGCTAGTTATGCCATAGTTTAGTGGACTTCAGTGGACATTTACTGAGCTATCAACTCTCTTTTTCAAGAATTATAGTTGAAACACACATAAACTGAGTTTTTAAGTCAGATCCCTTAATCTGTCATGCTTCTGAACCTTCTGAAAACTTGGATGTTTGCATTCTTTAAAGTCCATCTTGTTTAAATATCTTCCCCCAAAAATGTCTTTTTTCCCTTAAGTCACTCACAGTAGTTCATGTTGTTAAAAAGCAAAGGCTCTTTATGGTAGGAGCATCCAACGTCCTGCTTGGCCCAGGCACCATGTGCTGCATAGCAGTCATCCACACCTCCTGCGGGAACCACACAGTCCTTTGTACCATGGTGTTTGGAGGTGACCCCAGCAGTGTAGACATTATGTCATCAGCATGACAACATCTTCCTCCTGTTCTTCACCTCCAGACAGTATTTGCTGAGGTCCCCAATACAGAGAGAGGCCTTGTTGGGACTAAAGGACTACCTGTGACAGAGGGATGGGGTTTTGCAGAAGCTAGAGGAGGTCCACAGCTGCTGAGCGTCATATCACAAACCTGTGATAAAGGCCCAGATCACACCACGCCTTCTGCTTGTTGGCCCAATGCAGTTTTTGTTGTTGTTGTATTTGTTTTAAGTCACTCAGTTATCCAGATCAAACACACACATCCTCATACAGTCTCCACACACCCCACAATTAGGAAAGATCCTAGCCTGTAAAAAGCCTGGCCAGCCCAGTTGAGGATTCCACCCCTGCTAATAGCCACAAGGAACGTTTTGATGTTTTGTGGCAGATGATAAGGATTGTCACTCAAGCAGAACCCTGTAGATCTCCTGGGTGATCATCTGTGAATTGGATCTAAATTCCTTTTTAATGTACATCTCTCTTAAGCTTCTGCAAATTTTAAGCAGGATTTCTCAAAATACATTGTTTACAACTTTCAGGTTCTCAGGGAACAAATGGGGCCGTGATCAGAAAACTTTCGGAAGCACCTGATCAAAGTTAAATGGCTTCTTCATTGCCAGACATAGAGAAATCTGTAATGCTCCAATTTGCCTGGTGAGTTTCTAAGAGAGGAATGGAATATGAGGCATTTCCCAAATTTGTTTGAACACTGATTTTTTTTCTTTCGCATATGTTAAGTCTGGTGACCCAAGACACAAACTTTTAAAACTCTGCTAGTGAGAAAGAGTGCAATGGTGCACCCCCAAACCTACTCAATACCCCATTTTGGGTGCCAAGAAACATATTGTGCACCATGGTTTAGGTCGTGATCAAACCTCAGTGTGCTGCCAGTGAGTGTGGCCAGATGGTTCTACATCACAGCTGCTGTCCAGAGTAAAAGCACATTGGTCTAGGAGGGTTGTGCACTGTGCCTTTGTACTAACCGTATTATTTCTCTCATCATCAGGTTACTCTCCTTCAAATTAAGCATCTTAGGCCAGGTGAGAATAGGAAGAATGGAGTCACAGTTGGAGACTTTAACCTGCTTTTGTTTTTCTTCTGTTCAAACACTTCATCAAAGTTGATGTGAGCCACACTAATCTCAATGACATGGTTC